ATGATGTAAACAAAATTGAAAATCATGCATAACCATGAACATGTGTTCACTGATCCTTTGGTCTATAAAAGAGCAATGAGAGAAAAATAATTGTATGCTTTAAATTTCAGCGGTAACAATGTGTTGACAAAGGGCACTCCTTACAAGCAAGGGGAACCGTGTGCTAGCTGTCCCAATAACTGTGATAACGGATTATGCAGTAAGTGTGAGGGGAGCCACTGGTGGGTTATAAGACAGTCAGTATGTTATCTATCTGGAAACGGTTAAACCAGCTAAGTGATGTATTCTTAGAAGAAGAAAAAAATTTACTCAGGAGAAGCACTTAAATAAATAGTTTATACACTTTACTAACTTATATTTTATTTGTAATGAGAAGAATTTTACCTGAGCTACATAGTGGACCTTCTACCCTCGGTGAGAGTGATGTGCAGAGACTATTATTCACCTTGCAAGTCATTCACGTATTGTTCTTTAAACTTAATATCAACAGGCCCAAAGTGATATTAAAAAAAAAAAAACAAATCATGGTGCTGGAGAAATAGCTCCACAATTAAGAACATTTGCTGTTCTTGCAGAGGACCTGGGTTCCATTGCCATAACTGATCTTAGTGGTTCATAACTGCCCATGACTCCAGTTTCAAGATACTTGAAGTCCACTTTCAGGTACCTGAATGCAGGTACTGGACATATAGACCTGCAGGCACACATAATTCTCATAACTTAAAAAATTCATATTCTGTATACCTGCATGAATTGAGATCCTGCTTTTCCTCTTACATCCCCTAGTACTAGTCTTTGAAAAAAAATGTTGATTTTTTTTTTCATTTCTCTAGTATATTTAGAAACATACTATTTACTTTTAAAATTATCATTTTTTCCTATAATTGGGTGGTAGTTTTTTTTGCAAATATTTAATTACAATATCTAATGTGCATATACTATTGGTTTATAGAGAAAACATGGCTACAAATGAATAAATAACATAAAAGCCATGTATCTTATTTTTCGTTAACAGAAACAGGCATAACTATTGGGGCCCAACACTTCAAATGTTTTTTGTTTAAATTACTGTTAATGACAGAATTGAATCACTCACTGAGATTTTTACCTTTCAAATATGTTCTCTTTTATTTAGCATCATTCCTGACTCAATTCTATAGCTATAATTTTAAAATATTAGTATCAAAGCTACAGACTAATAAGAAAATGTGTTGAATCACTATACCTCTGCAGAATTCTACTTGCTAAACAGTTAGGAATATACCCTACTTTCAGTGAGTATAAAACAGGAAATTTTTTAAATAAAAGGAGGTGTCAGTCATGTGTCCTAAAACCTTCTGGCACCAGGATACAGAAATCGCAAATGGGAGCAAGTTCAGAAGCAGCGGGGAAACAGTTTAAATGCTGCAATGGGTATTGTTGCATTGTGAGCCAAATAAACGGGGCCCGAGTGCTGTCTTCATGCTTGCCAGGAGTAGATGGACTATACCTGCTTGGTTCCTGCTCCAGAATTAGAAGCAAAGTTATTAGAATGCTCTGTCCTTGAGATTGTAGGAGGGCTTCAAAGAGACCATACCCAATAATTGTACTTTTAAAAAGCAGCCTAAGAGAATGACACCATGTGACAGAGTTCACATAGAAGGTTCTTTTTTTTTTTTTAAAATTGATTTTATTGAGCTAAACATTTTTCTCTGCTAGGGAGATTTTTATTAGGGGAAAGGGAACATAAAAAAGTGGGAAGGGAAGGGGGGAGACTGACTTCTGAGGACCAGAGCAGCAGAAGAGAAGAGATGAAGGGAGGGAAGAGGAGGGGGAGAGGAGAGAGAGAAGGGGGAACACAGAAAGGCAGAGGAGCAGAGAGGGGGGCAGAGAGAGACAGAGAGAAAGAGAAAGATAGGAGGTGAGCAGGACCTTTTCAGAAGGGAATGTAGTGAATGTGTTCAGGAGGTGCTCTTAGGCTCTGTGTGGCTACAGCTGTCAGAACCCCAACGGCAGGCCAGTATAGATTCCTGAATACTAACACCCATAAATAATCAACTTTGAGGGTCTGAGGAAAACATGGCATACTGTTCTTGTTTCAGCCCATTCACAAAGGGCATTTACTCCTGAAAGTGTAAAGTTAGGTTTCCAGAATGGGAGATAAGAGGAGTCTCTGTAACATCTGTCTGAGAAGATTAGCCACGAATGTGATCTTGGGTACTTGAAATGACCGAGTTAGGCTAAGAAACTAATTGAGTTTATGATGCACCAAAATAGCTACATTTATCTAGTGGCTTCTGCATCAGACTCAGCAGTTATAGATATGCTTATATCTCTTTTTCTCTTTGACTGCCAGGGGATATAAGTAAGTAAACTCATTTTAGAAATATGCCATTGAATTAAAAATAAGAAAAAGTGATGGGTGAGCCAGTGGCCTCAGCCAATGGGTCTTCCCTGGGTCACTTGAGACCACCACAGTGGCAATAATGCTAGTGTGTTTCTCATTTCTACCTCTCCATGGATGTTTTAATGGGTGGGCTTTTCTGCTGCTACTTTTCTGCTTTTCAGATAATGGCAATAAGTTAACCCAAACTGTTTTCATTGCAGCCAATAGCTGTGAGTTTGAAGATTCCCTTAGTAACTGTGAGGCCTTGAAGAAATCAGCAGGCTGTGAACATGAACTGCTGATGGAAAAGTGCAAGGCTACCTGCCTATGTGAAAACAAAATCCATTAACATGCCCAGGGCACAGCAAGAAGGACTTCATGAAAAGGGGATGCAGTTTTCAGCTGAGGCATGCCAGGGAAACCTAGAGGAGATTAGTGATAAGTTGGATCCCAAATGACAAAGCTTTTCCCTCCCTGCATTTACACAGAAATCTCTTTCATACGGCTATTTAAAAAGGTGTCATTTAGGATGACAACTTTTTGATTATTACCAATGTTGGCGCTTTAAACATAGTGGATTGAGTTGGATGCAGAACTTTGAAAGTTGTATGAACACAGGTCATCATTCATCATTAGAACTTTGAAAAAAAGAGAACTATGTGTGTCTTAAAGCAACTTGCAACAAGATAGTGGACTGTAATAACGTCACCACCAATCTACTCTACAGTGTCTCCCAGGATAAAGCCTGACATCTGAATTTGTCCTATGTCCTTTTAATTAAACACAGGCAATCATCCTTTTCAATAAAGAACTTCAGCAACTACACAGATGCATTTTTCATGTAATATTTTTTTTTTTTTAGAATTTCTCTGTGTAACAGTGTTACCCTGTCCTGGAACTTGCTTTATAGACCGGGCTAGCCTGGAACTAACTGAGATCCACCTGCTTCTGCCTCCAAAGTTCTGGGATTAAAGGTGTGCGCCTCCACTGCCCAGCTTAATTTTTATGTGACATTTATATATTATGTCTTTTTAAAGTCAAGTGGTTGTGGAACTAAGAGTTGGAACAAGTTCTTAGAGTAAATGACCTTATATTGTAAACCTAGAGGATTCATTGCTATTATTAAGCACATTCATTCTTGCTGTAGACCCATGAATGTCAGTGGAAATCTACAGAAATAACATTTCTTCATTGCTGCTTTGAGAAATCAATTGTCTCATAATCTGTTTTGTATCATTTCCCCTTTTAAATTTTTTAATACAGTGTCATAACAGTGTACTCACAAATGAACTGTTTTAGTTTGACTTTCTGGAAAGTCATGTATTAGTCAGGTTTCTCTGCAGGAACTGATGGAATGGATCTATATTCATTAAAAGATGGTTTATTAGATTGGTTTATAGGTTGTAGTCTAGTTAATCCAACAATGACTGTCTCCTGACTAAGTCCAAGAATCTGGTAGTGGTTCAGTCGACAAGGCTGGGTGTCTCAGCTGATCGTCGGTCTACATGGAATCTCTAAGAAATAGGTTCTAATATCAGTGAAGGAATCCCTCAGCTACACTCACAGATGAATTTCCCAGCATGAGAATGAGGACAAGCAGGCAAAAAGCACAAGCTTCTTTCTTCCATGTCTGCTTATGTTGGCTGCCACCAGTAGGTGAGGCCTAGATTTAGGGTGGATCTCCTGAACACAATGACCCAGATTTAGTGTGAATCTTTTCTCCTCAAATGGTCAAATCAAGAAAAACCCTTCACAGTTGCACTAGACTGCTTGGGTTTCAGCTGATTCCAGATGTAGTCAGTTGATAACCAAGATTAACTATCACACGTCATATTTACAAATGTCTCCAAGCTACTTCCATGACTCAGTGGGAGTCAGGTAGACAGGATGATTTGTCCTTTAGTTTGGTAAAGACTTTCAAGTCTATGGTAGATCTTTGCTAAGCAGGAAACACACTAGCAATTGTTCTGGAAGCTCTTGGAGACCCCTCACATCTCATACCCTTTTCTCTACATGCTTTGCTAGGGGAACTTTCAAGTCTGTATTCTTGCATCACATGTATACACACATGTACTTCATTTTGAAGACTGTTTGATACTGGAACACCCTTGTGTTCCAGGATAAGAAATCTCACAAAGTGCTGCTTAGTAATTTCATTTGGGGACTTTCCAACAATTTCAACTTCACAGAACAAATTGAGTTTCTGTGTTCTCTGGTTTCAATCTTGAGTTTAAAAACATATCTTCCGAGTTCAGGCCATGCAGCAATGGCGTCATGGTGGGAGTTGAGGTTCTGGGAAATTGCAGAGGCCTGAAAAGAGGGAGTTGACATCCACAGCTACTCCTGAACAGCCCAGCCTGGGCTAAGTGCTCATGCAGCGCTGGAAGGACCCACCTGAATTCTGCTCTTACACCAGACTGGCATAGTCTGTTTTCTTGTCTGTTTTCACAGCTCAGCGCAGGAAGAATCTGATTAATGAATGATTCACCATTTAGGACCTGGTTAGAGCCTGTGGATAATCCTGTGAATTGAATTCATCTGTTTGTAGCTGAGATTCGCCACCTGAAGTTTTTTCCTCTCTCACCATTTCTGATAGCCCGTAGCTCCCTGGGTGTGACTGCCAGCGCTGACCAGTATGCTGCGGTGGAAACCAACACGCCTGGAGCTCAAGCTCAATGACATTGATGAGTGTGAGAGTGTTCGGAAGGACTTGGAGACACGCAAGAAACAGAAGGAAGATGTGGAAGGTGGAGGAACCAGTGATGGAGAAGGGGCCACTGGGCTTAGCAGTGACCCCAAAAGCCGGGAACAAATGATTAATGATCGAATTGGTTATAAACCCCAACCTAAGCCCAACAACCGCACATCTCAATTTGGAAACTTGGAGTTTTAGACATGAATTCTGCATGCCAGACCTCTGGAATGAAATGAAATGATGTCAGAAGTACAGAACAGATTTAGAGAATTAAGTGTGTACAACCAAGAATGTTTTCTGTCTCCTACAGAGAGGAATAATGTCTGAATGAAATTACTGCTGTTCAACTTTCCTGATAAGCTAGAAGCCAAATTCTGGCTTGTTTCTGGAAAGTTGAACTGTGGAAAATTTACCTGATTTTTGTTTTTAAATTTAAATATATTTTTGGAAAAATGCGAGACATCCCTAAAAGCAATGAAGTTCCCAGTTCTGAGAGGCAAACGCTGCCAGAGGTGATGTCATCCTCCTTGTCTTTACAAAAGGACCCCGAACCCGCAGTTGATCCCCGAACTTGCACTTCACCCATTTATTCAGTATTTGGTGACTGCTGACCATCGTGCAAGCAACAGAGATTCCAGATGAGTGTGTTCATGCCTATAATCTAGCACTTGGAAGGCTGAGGTAGGACTCTCATGAGTTGGAGGCTAGTCTGGGCAACAGAGTAAAATCTTGTCTCAGAATGTCTAAAACAAACCAAACCAAGACAAAGACTCCGACCCTCATGGAGATTGGATTCTAATGAACAAACAAAACGAAGAGTCAGATTCATTTACAGAAAGACTTTATACAGCGAGGGAAACACGGACATTTCCAACAGCACGGGCCACTCTAATTCTTCTTCCTTTGGGACGCGTCTGAGAATCTGTGCAGCAGGAACCCATCTGATCTCTGGATACTTTTGCACCATGCCCCATTTTACCATAAAATTTAGGGACAGAAGTACTGGCTGGGGAAGCCAGAACATCTGGAATCAAGTTTCAAAGAGACTCATTTGCTGGGTTTTACCCAGGCTTTTGGATAGTTCCTGATTGATATCAATAGGAAGGTAGAGATAAAAGGGAATTGTGTAGCTTCCTCTTCCTGCTCCACACTTTTTCTGCTAGGTCCTTTGCTCAGGAACGGTTTTCTGCTCCTACACAAAGGCTACCCACCCAGAGCGGTGAGTGCCTGCATACTGGGCAGGCCTCAAGGACCCCCGAAAGGGAGCACGAGCACCTTCAGCTTTTGAGGCAGGGTGTCCTGTGTTCTACTCGTCCCCGCCCTGCCCCCCAAGTTCTCTCTTTTGTCCGCGGGTCATTGGACTACCAGGCATCCATGTTTCGGTGCTGAGGAGTTCCATCTGGACGGGACGGTTCCTGCTTCTACACTGAAGAGATACTCCCAGAGAGTCAGTCACAGCAAAGATTGGACCAAGACACCAGGCCTCTCCTGGCTCCATTTGAAGGAAGAGATGGGAAGGCGCCAATGCAAGAATTCCTCCAACAACCTGAAAGGCAACATGACATCACCAGAATCCATGGATCCCGAAATAAGAAGAATTGTACACCCTACTCCAGAAGAATTAGAAGAAATCGACTCAAAAGTGAATTATACGAAAATAATAGAAGACCTTAAACAGGAGGTGAAAAACTGCCATAAACAATTAGAGATTACAAACAAAAAGGTAGAGGAAATGAATAAATCGCTCAAAGATACCCAAGAAAAACAAGAAAAAGCAATCAAACAGGTAAGGGAAGCTGTTCAAGACTTGAAGAATGAAATGGAAGTAATGGAGAAAACACAAACCGAGGGAAGGATGGAGATGGAAAATCTGGGTAAACGAACAGGAACTACAGAGACAAGTACTACCAACAGATTACAAGAGATAGAAAAAAGAATGTCAGACACTGAAGATACCATAGAAAAAATAAACACAATGATCAAAGAAAACAGCAAAACCAACAAATTCTCATCACAAAACATTCAGGAAATCTGGGACACAATAAAAAGACCAAACCTAAGAATAATTGGGATAGAAGAAGGAGAAGAAGTACAGCTCAATGGTCCAGAAAATATATTTAATAAAATTATAGAAGAAAACTTTCCCAACCTAAAGAAAGATATTCCTATGAATTTCAAGAAGCATACAGAACACCGAATAGACTGGACCAAAAAAAAAAATTTCCTCACTATATAATAATCAAAACACAAAACACACAGAATAAAGAAAGAATATTAAGAGCTACAAAGGAAAAAGACCAAGTTACTTATAAAGGTAAACCTATCAGACTTACACCTGATTTCTCTATGGAAACAATGAAAGCCAGAAGGTCCTGGATAGATGTACTGCAGAAATTAAGAGACCATGGATGCAAGCCCAGACTACTATACCCAGCCAAGCTTTTGTTCACTATAAATGGAGAAAAAAATTTTCCAGGATAAGAACAAATTTAAACAATACTTAGCCACAAATTCAGCCTTACAGAAAGTGATAGAAGGAAAATCACAAATCAAGGAGTCCAACAATGACCACAATAACTCAAACATCTAGAGACCCTTCACCAGCACAACTCAAAGAAGGGAAACACACAAACTCTACTACTAAAAAAGTGACCGGAGTTAACAACCACTGGTCATTAATATCACTTAATGTCAATGGACTCAACTCACCTATAAAAAGGCACAGCAAAGAGATTGGATACGAAAACAGGATCCAACATTCTGCTGTTTACAAGAAACACACCTTAACCACAAAGACAGGCACCTACTCAGAGTAAAAAGATGGGAAAAGGTTTATCAAGCAAATGGACCTAAGAAACAAGCAGGTGTGGCCATACTAATTTCTAACAAAGTTGACTTCAAACTTCAATCAATCAGAAGAGATGGAGAGGGACATTTTATACTCATAACAGGAACAATTCATCAGGATGAAGTCTCAATCCTGAATATCTATGCCCCTAATATAAAAGCACCCACATGCATAAAAGAAACATTACTAAAATTCAAGGCTGCCATCAAACCACACACACTAATAGTAGGAGACTTCAACACTCCTCTCTCACCAATGGACAGGTCAATCAGACAGAAACCTAACAGAGAAATAAGAGAATTAATGGAGGTAATGAATCAAATGGACTTAACAGACATCTACAGAACATTCCACCCAAATAGGAAAGAATATACCTTCTTCTCTGCAGCTCATGGAACCTTCTCGAAAATTGACCACATACTCGGTAACAAAGCAAACTTCCACAGTTACAAAAAAATATTAGTAACCTCCTGTGTCTTATCAGACCACCATGGATTTAAGTTAGAATTCAACAACAATGCTACCACCAGAAAGCCTACAAACTCATGGAAACTGAACAGTCAATACTGAACCATACCTGAATTAAGGAAGAAATAAAGAAAGAAATTAAAGTCTTCCTTGAATTCAATGAAAATAAAGTAACAACCTACTCAAACTTATGGGACACTATGAAAGCAGTCCTAAGAGGAAAGTTCATAGCACTAAGTGCCCACTTAAAGAAAACAGAGAAAGCACACATTGGAGACTTAACAGCCCACCTGAAAACTCTAAAAAAAAAAAAAAAAAAAAGAAGCAGGCTTACCTAGGAGGAGTAGAAGACTGGAAATAATCAAACTGAGGGCTGAAATCAACAAAATAGAAACACAGAAAACAATCCAAAGAAACAATGAAATAAAAAGCTGCTTCCTGGAGAAAACAAGATTGATAAACCCCTATCCAAACTAATCAAACGGCAGAGAGAGAATATGCAAATTAATAGGATCAGAAATGAAAAGGGGGACATAACCACAGACACAGAGGAAATTCAGAGAATTATTAGATCTTACTACAAAAGCCTGTATGCCACAAAACTGGAAAATGTAAAAGAAATGGACACTTTTTTAGATAAATACCATATACCAAAGTTAAACCAGGACCAGGTGAACAATCTAAATAGACCTGTTAGTCGCGAAGAATTAGAAGCTGTTATCAAAAACCTCCCTACCAAAAGAAGCCCAGGATCAGATGGTTTCAATGCGGAATTCTACCAGAACTTCCAAGAAGACCTATACTCCTTAATGTATTTCATAATATAGAAACAGAAGAGTCATTGCCAAATTCCTTTTATGAAGCTACAGTTACCCTGATACCAAAACCACACAAAGACTCAACCAAGAAAGAGAATTACAGGCCAATCTCACTCATGAACATTGATGCAAAAATACTCAACAAAATACTGGCAAACCGAATCCAAGAAAACATTAGAAATATTATCCATTATGATCAAGTAGGCTTCATCCCAGAGATGCAGGGCTGGTTCAACATATGGAAATCTATCAATGTAATCCATCATATAAATAAACTGAAAGAAAAAAATTAGATGATCATTTCATTAGATGCTGAAAAAGCTTTTGACAAAATTTAACATCCCTTTATGATAAAAGTCATGGAGAGATTAGGGATACAAGGGTCATACCTAAATATAATAAAAGCTATTTACAGCAAACCTACAGCTAACATCAAACTAAACGGAGAGAAACTCAAAGCCATCCCACTAAAATCAGGAACACAACATGGCTGTCCACTCTCTCCATACCTCTTCAATATAGTGCTTGAAGTTCTAGCAATAGCAATAAGACAACATAAGGGGATCAAGGGGATTCGAATTGGAAAGGAAGAAGTGAAACTTTCGTTATTTGCAGATGATATGATAGTGTACATAAGCGACCTGAAAAACTCCACCAAAGAACTTTTACAGCTGATAAACACCTTTAGTAATGTGGCAGGATACAAGATCAACTCCAAAAAATCAGTCGCCCTCTTATACACAAAGGATATGGAAGCAGAGAAGGAAATCAGAGAAGCATCACCTTTCACGATAGCCACAAACAGCATAAAATATCTTGGGGTAACTCTAACCAAGGAAGTGAAAGATCTATTTGACAAGAACTTTAAGGCATTGAAGAAGGAAATTGAAGAGGAATCCAGAAAATGGAAATATCTCCCTTGCTCTTGGATTGGGAGGATCAACATAGTAAAAATGGCAATTCTACCAAAGGCAATTTATAGATTCAAAGCAATCCCCATCAAGGTCCCATCAAAATTCTTCACAGATCTTGAGAGGACAATAATCAACTTTATATGGAAAAAC